CCCTGAGGCTCAGTTTCCTTATTTGTAAAATGCAGACAACGGTACTGCCTTACATATAAGCTGTTTATGAGGATCAGGTGAGGGATCTGCCATGAACTCACTTGGGTAGTTGGGAGGGGCACGTGCACGTGAGGAGCGTCAGCATCTCACCAAAGGTGGTAAACCTGTTTCAGAGCGCTTGGCTGCTTGAGGGGGACTCTAATGACCATTCAGCCCGGTGTGTGTCATCAAGAATGAGGGATTGGATAACCACAGCTGAAACCTTCTGTTCTGATAGCGAGGAGATGGAAATCTTGTCAAATGGGAGACCTGAGCTCTTAAACCTGACTTGGCCTTTCCAAATATCTGGAAGTCTATATCAGAAGGGTTAAATTATTCTGTGCAGGTCTGGATCATAACCAGGTGCCAAAAACGTTAAGTGAGGTGGTAGATTTCAGCTCAGTCTTTAGATAAATGTTTCTGAACCAAGGAAATGGCCTCAGGAAGTAATGCACTCCCTGTCACTGGAGGGCTTCAAGCCCTGGCTAGCAGGTGCCTCATGCGGGAGCCTGGGAGTCAGGCACGATGATGGCTGAGTGGCCTTTCTCCCCTGGGGTTGTGGGGGTCCTGGCAGCCTGTCCCAGCCCTGGTCCCTTGCCCAACAGCTGCCCACCCTGTGCCTCTGAACGCGCCACTCACAGGTCACCCTTCCTTAGTGCCCGCAAACACCACAGAGACCTCATGCTGTGGGATTGTTTCATCTCCCCCAGAGCACCAGAGCCCTCAGCCCTCTTGCTCTGTCTCTTTGAGCAGAAATCATCACTCACTTCTCAAGCGCTTCGCTCATATAACCTTCGAGCCCTCTGAGGGCAGCTCCAGAATCCGGCTCTGCCTGCTTGGTTTCTGCATTCCTAGAGCCTGCCCTCGGCCTTGACAGAGCAGACTTCCCGCTGGAAGGATACTGGGGCTCCTCCAGCACATTCTCTTGCAGGGGGCAGTGCTCAGAGCCCAAAAAGGAAGGGAAGGAGGGGCTGGCTCGAGTGGCAGGACCCTGTGGCTGCCGCTGTGCGTAGGCTGAGAGTCCCCTTGCTGTTACGTAACTGAGGTCTTTTTCCCTCCCTATTTTAGATCCTGGTGCCATCTGCCCTGATTTTCCACATCACCAGCTCTGGGCTGGAGGTTAGATCTGGCTTGACACCCAGCTCTACCCATTACTTGGTGACAGACTTGGGGAAGCCTGTTTCCGTAAAATAAGATAACCCCACTCTGCCTACCTGCCAGGGTTGCTGTGAGAATCAGTGAGAGGCAGCAGCAGTGGCTGGGTAGCAGGACCTGCACTGGGTACCCGTGCCTGGTTGCTGTCTGGCCAACCCTGCCTGGGGCTGCCTGAGCTGGGGGAGCCTCTGCTCACTCATGGCGGCTCCTGTATCAAAACGGTTCACACAGGTTTGCAGAGCCAGGGCCTGTTCGAAATACAGGCAGTGAACAGACCTCACACGTGGGGAGTCTTTGTCAGACCTCCTGTCATGGGTGGTAAGGGGGCAGCCCTAGCAGCTTGTGACAGGCGGGGCCAGCCACCTGTGTGGGGACAGCCTATGTGGCTGTCACCTGCTCACACAGCCTCTTGGCCCCAGGTGGAATGCTAGGCACAGCAGGTGCTCTGTAACAACAAGACATTGTCAGGAGCATCTCACAAAAAGCCCTTGCCCAGCCTCCAACCATCAAGGGAAGGGTTTGTGCTGGCTGGAGTCACCAGACCATGGTCCACACAGGCAAAGGCCTCCTCCCTACCCCTTACTCTGACGAGAAGGAGCGGCTCTCTGCCAGCAGACAAACAGTGAGGGTCTAGGTGCCTGGTGACCCCAACTGGCTTCGCTTCCAGGGCTGCTGCGAGCCACAGTGTAATGTGATAGTGAAGAGTGCCACTCAGGAGACTTTTGTTCTGCCCTGGATTTACTGTGATACTGAGTGAATCACTTCCCCTCTTTGGGCCTCAGTTATGTCATCTATAAAATGGGAATATGCACCTCTGTTTTGTCCTCCTATCTTTTTTTTCCTTTTCTTTTTTTCTTTTTTTTTTTTTTTTTTTTTTTTTTTGAGACAGTCTCACTCTGTCACCCAGGCTGGAGTACAGTGGCATGATCTTGGCTCACTGCAACCTCCACCTCCGGGTTCAGTCGATTCTCCTGCCTCAGCCTCCTGAGTAGCCAGGATTACAGGCGCCCACCACCACACCTGGCTAATTTTTGTACTTTTAGTAGACACAGGATTTCACCATGTTGGCCAGGCTGGTCTTGAACTCCTGCCCTCAGGCAATCCACTCGCCTCGGCCTCCCAAAGTGCTGGGATTACAGGGTGACAGGCGTGAGCCACCGCGCCCGGCCACCCACTCTGGTAAAGATGAAAACTAGGTCCTGCGCCCCAGCAGGTTCTAAGCTGCCAGAAAGCGAATGGTAAATATGAGGTCTGAGTTAGCACTGCAGTTATTTGGAGGGATAGTAGTCTGGGCTTTTCAATCTCTGGAAATGATTAAAAACCAGAACAGCCTATATAGGCTGGCTCAGCAGTTCTGGCTTACTCAGAAGATTCCAATAGACGCATATGCATATGCAGCTTCTCTGACGTTCGGGTCTGTTGATCTGGACCCAGAGTATGTGGCCCCCCTTCCTCTAGTTCCCAGGCAGGGATGCACACGTGCAACTCCAAGGCTCCATCTGTTTTCCTTCAATCAACTTCAGCACGAAAACAAATTCGCCCAACATGTAAAAATGCAATTCTGAAAGGGTCCTGCTAGAACAAGGTCCACGGTACAAAAGCATCCTATTGTTACGTAAAGGCAATGGCCACCAAGCGTCCCCCTCCGGGCTCTGGATCCCCGCCTGCCTCCCCTCCCTCCTCCTAGGGGAGCTGGGACAGGGGACCCCTGTCTGAAGACAGCGGGGACAAAGGCCTAAGAGGCAAGCTGAATTTGCCCATTGTGTGAGTGCCTGAACCCCACAGCCCACTCCAGCTGCCCGGGTTCTTCTGCCTTCTCCTGGCACCAGACTCCAGGTTCGGGCCAGGCAGCTGCTGGAAGAGCGAGAACACTGTTTCTAAAGGGGTGCTGCTTGCTTCTTTGTTCCCAGTTTCCGAGGTGAGAATCCCGAACGCCGTGAGAAACCTCAGGCTCGGGGGGCCACTCGGGAGTCTGGGGCGTTGGAGGCCGGCGCCGGCTGCGGAGGACGCGGGCGCCCTCTACCGGCAGGCCCAGCCCGCCCAGGGGAGAGGCGGAAATGTCAGTCATGGTCTGACTTGTAAGGCTGGCGCTTGGGACCCTGCCCTAGCCCTAAAGCCACCTGGAGGACAGCGGTGTTTGGTTTTGGTCCAAACATACAGGCCCTGGGCAGTTGCAGGGATGGCAGCTTTCACACTCAAACCCCAGAAGTGATCATGCAGACTCTGCCTAAAGTGGCATCACTTCTTAATTGAAAATAAGGCCAAGGCGGGGCTGAAGCCCTGCAGACCAGGGTGTGTGTGTGTGTGTGTGTGTGTGTGTGTGTGTGTGTGTACGCGCGCATATGTGCGTGGAAACAGTCATGGTCTGACTTGTAAGGCTGAGGCTGGGACCCTGCCCTAGCCCTAAAGCCACCTGAGACAGTGGTGTTTGGTTTTGGTCCAACATACAGGCCCTGGCAGTTGCAGGATGTATAGCGCGCACCTCCAAACCCCAGAAGTGATCACAGATCACCAAAGTGGCATCACTTCTTAATTGGTGCAATAAGGCTACAAGGCTGAAGTCTGCAGACCAGGTGTGTGTGTGTGTGTGTGTGTGTGTGTGTGTGTGTACGTACAAGATATGTAAGCACCATGTGAGGGTAAGTAGACCTCTGAGACCAGGTGTGTGTGTGTGTGGATGTAATTCCGCAGACCAGGGTGTGTGTGTGTGTGTGTGTGTGTACGCGCGCATATGTAAGCACCATGTGAGGTAAGCAGGGACTCCTGGTGACCAGGGGGTGTGTGTGTGTGTGTGTGTACGCGCGCATATGTGTAAGCACCATGTGAGGTACAGGGACTCCTAGAGACCAGGTGTGTGTGTGTGTGTGTATGTGTAAGCACCATGAGGCAAGCAGACCCCAAATCCACTGCTAGGGGAGAAGATGCCACAGTGCCCCGCCATGGCACCACTGCTCCTGCCAGTTTGCCCATCGACACTGGCCCCAGCCAAGGTAACCAAGCAGACCTAAACCAGTAACAACCTCCATCCTGTCAGCCAGAGAGCACCCCCACACAAGTCTATCCTGAGTCCTAAAAGGAGATGTTAAAAGCTCAAGTAAAAATCAGGCCAGATGTGTCTACACCTGTAATCCCAGCACTTCGGGAGGCCAAGGCAGGCGGATTACTTGAAGTCAGGAGTTCGACACCAGCCTACTCAACATGGTGAAACCCCGTCTAAAAATATAAAAATTAGCCAGGTGTGGTGGTGGGTGCCTATAACCACAGCTACTCGGGAGGCTGAGGCAGGAGAACTGCTTGAACCTAGGGAGGAGGCTGCAGTGAGCCGAGATGGTGCCATTGCACTCCAGCCTGGGAGATCAAGCAAGAGTCTGAAAAAATAATAATAATAATAAACAAATAAAAATCTCCAGAAACATTCTACCCCCTCCATACAGCCAGCTCTGAGTCACTGGCTGCTGGCTGCCAGTCACACAGCACCATGGACATGCAGAGTGTACCACAGTGGGCACTTGCAGTGGCTCAGATGAGGACACAGAGTTAGTCAGAAGATTCTTGGGCAAATGTATCCAAAACAGTCCTGGAATGCAAAATGTGAAGTGTTTCCACAGCAGTGGCAGGAACACATGACTGGCACTATTTATAAGCGATAAAGGGTTATTTCACATCCCCTTTAAGCTGCAAATGTTTATGTACAAAAAGAAAAAAATCTGTCCTTTTTATTCATGAGACTGGCTTAAGGATCAAATGAGATAATTTTTTAAAGTGATAATTTGGCTTGAAGATATAAAAGAGTTTTGATTCCATTCTATAATAAATCTGTTTTTAATATAAAGATCTTTTCTCAAAATCTCTGTATGAAATGATCTCCAGAGAGACAGATCTTACCATGTTTGCCCTGAGATTGAGAGGCCCTTGCCTGCTACCCACACCCCAAGCTTGTGAAGGCCTCTAAGTCACTCACTGTGCAAACAAGTCAGGTTGGGTTATTCCCTTTGGTTAATGTTAAACCAGTCATGGGTCTTCCCGGGAGGGTGGATAATCCACACGTGGATAATCAAGAGTTGACTATATGGGTTCCCCTCCTCCTCCCTTCCACCAGGGATCCCCTGACAGAGGCCACAGAGAGACTTCAGCGGATGTAGACTGCGTCGGAGATGGCTCCAGGCAAGTGGGTAATGATCTGCATTCGCAGCCACCAGTAGTAGTCCATGGGGTGGAAGGTAGGGGTGGTGGGCGGTCAGGGCGTGTGTGACAGCATCGATGGATAGATGGTTCTGTGAGCCACTGCTGGTAGGTCTCATCTTGGCGATCTTTCATCAGCACTTTAAGCCGAGTCCTTGCGCACGACCTCAGGCAGCTCAGTTCCACATCTTCTGGCGATGGCCCGAATGCTCTCGGGCTGTAGAGAGGCTGGTGGCAGCGATGAAGGCCGGGCTCCACCACACTGACCTTCACGCCCAGGAGCATCTCAGCGCAGGTAGTCCGAGAAAAGCCTCTACCCCGAATCTGGTGATGCAAAAAGACGGGAGCGGGCTTGCTGGCCATGCGGCTCAAAGCATGCTGCTGAGATGCTGACCACGCCGCCTACAGAGGGAGACAGAGATACCTGCCAAGGCGGCACTGCCCACGACACACAGGGCAGTAGCCGGGCGTGTCTCCAGAGGGCTTGGGCTGGAACCACTTCTGACCCACCCAGGAGCCTTCACCCAGGAGGCAAGGCCAGTCCAGACCCACGCATCAGCATCGCACCTCTGATCTTCCCTGGGAACCTGGCTGTGCCAGGCAGGACCAGGGAGGACAAGTGAGTGAGAATGGTGGAGGGCCAGGATGGGTAACACACAACCTGACTAAAAACTGTGATCAGCCTGGGATGTGTGATAATTTGGTTGAAAACACAAGGGAGAAGTGAGTTTGAGACAGCTGTCTGTGTGGATCTGAGCTTACCATAGACAAGGTCTGGTGCTGGTTAGGGGAGAAATACAGCCTAAAAGCTTCTTCCTCATGGAGCTTAAAATCCAGCTCCAGTAGTACGATGTGCAGATGGGCAATTACACTAAGGCCAAGTGTCTATACACTGATCGCAACACTGGCAATAGGGGTTGGAGCGCAGAGGAGGAAGTACCTGGGGCTGCAGCTGAGGAGCCCTCAGATGGCCCTGAAAGAGGACAGGGCCTGGTGCTGTTAGAATCAACCCCAACTCCATTCCACCCAGGTAGGGTGGTTTGGGTGGAGCCCAGGACAGCCTGGAAAACAGCACAGGCAGGCAGGGGCAGGGTTTCTGAACCTGACTTCAGGGCTAGGACATGAGGAGACAGTCCTGGGCATTGGGAGAGTGTGGTGACCTCCTACTCCTTCCTCCAAAGGCCTCAGGCCACAGGCCCAACCTGGGGACAACAGCCTCCTGCAGCTCCTCTGGCCCTGGGAACAGAGGGGTTGGGCGGATTGCATTTGGCCCAATGGGAAGCCCAGGCGGATCTGGGACCAGTTTTCCTTTATAGGTGTGTACTGGGAAGGAATCAGCCTATCCAGGTGTGTACCGGAGGGAACGCCCATCCAGGTGTGTGTACCGGAGGGAACGCCGCCCATCCAGGTGTACCGGAAGGAACTCGCCCATCCAGGTGTGTACCGGAAGGAACTCGGCCTAGTCCAGGTGTGTACCGAAGGAACGCTGCCCATCCAGGTGTGTACCCGGAAGGAACGTGCTCATCCAGGTGTGTACTGGGGAAGGAACGCGTCCATCCAGGTGTACTCGTGAAGGAACGCGTCCATCCAGGTGTGTACTCCGAGAAGGAACGCGGTCCATCCAGGTGTACCGGGAAGGAACGCGTCATCCAGGTGTACCCGGGAAGGAACGCCCATCCAGGTGTGTACTGGGAAGGAACGCGGCCTATCCAGGTGTGTACCCGGAAGGAACTGCCCATCCAGGTGTGTACCGGGAAGGAACGCTGCCCATCCAGGTGTGTACCCGGAAGGAACGCCGCCCATCCAGGTGTGTACTCCGGGAAGGCGTCCATCCAGGTGTACCCGAAGGAACGCGGGTCCATCCAGGTGTGTACCCGAAGGAACGCTGCCCATCCAGGTGTGTACCGGAAGGAACGCGCCCATCCTGGGTGGAGGCACCTTCAGAAAACTCTTTGAAGTCACTGAAGGGTTGGGGGTTTTCATCTAAAATCCTACAGCTGCCTCCATGTTCATGCCATGTTGCTAGACTTCACCAGAGATGTATGGATCTTACCCTTTTGCCACAGTTGTTTGTCATGTCAGAAATGACCAAGTCAATGACTTCTGAAGATATTTGTTTCACATTTGGCCACCCATATGGTTTGGGTGTTTTCTTGGTTTTCCAAATTTCTAACTACTATTACTATTGTTTCTAATAGCACAATGATCTACTTTCTTAAACTACAGTATAAATAACCATAGAATGAATATGTCAAATTTTATTTAACTATTCGATTGACACAAAGATGTATACACACAGCTTTGTGCAAAGGGTGATTCTCTATAGATTAGGTTCTCAGAGGGTGGCTGCTAAAATCTTGGAAGCTTTTGCTGCATATACCACTGACCTCTTACCTGCTTTACTTCCTGAGAGCTTTACACACCTCTCTCCCCCCTACCTGGCCACAGCCCCTCTGCTCACCTTCACCCAGGCCCAGCACAGGCCCTGGGGCCACCCTTGCTGTGTTGTGGACGTTGGAGCTGCTGGGACAGGTGGCATGCCCATTCCGAGCAAACATGAACATGTGGGGCCGATTCAGGGGCAGGAGGGAGCTCCCTTCCCCCACCTTTGGCCTCGGATGAGGGGGAGAAAGGATTTGTCCGCACTGTGCCTCAAAGGTTCACTTCTGCCACCTCCTTGCAGGTCTCCCATGCTGGGTGAACTCCCACCTCCTCGAACGTGGAGATGCCGGCGCTACACCCAGGCCCCACACATCCCTGGACAGGGGAGGGATAGGTGTGCGGTGACCACAGGGCTCGGCCCCAGGCATTGCCCATCGGCCTGCATGGGCCAGCCTCTTTCCCACTCCTTTCCTGTGACTTCCCAGCCTCTTGCCCAGTGCTCTCCAGAAACTTTCTAGAGTCACCTAGGAATGACAGGAGGTAAAGAGGCCTAAAGTACTAACTGCCACCCTCCCTTACGTCTAGAATGTCCAGTGCTCATGTCACATCTGCCTGGCTCCATTCTCTGGACTCCACCATGACTCCAGCTCCTGGCTTGTCCCCAGCCTTGAATCTCACCTCACTTCAAATTGCCACTGCCACTCCACTCCACCCCATCCTATCCCCACAGCCTGAGTTTGCCACCCCGCTCCTGTTTACTCATCTCTGCCTCTGAGCTTTCGTCACATCTTCTTCTCTTGCCAGAGTCAGGGAAATCACCGGGAGGCGGCAATTTCCAGCAGGCAGCTGTGTTTTGCAGGGACCTCCTTGTTGTTTTTTGGGGTGCAAAGGCTGATGGTTTCAGGAGCCTCAGGACAGAGCTGCCTCGCTCTCTTTGTTGTGGAACCCTCAGGCTCAGTCTCCTGCGTGGCCAGTCTGGCACTTCTTCCCGCGCAGCCTCAGAGCAAGAGCTCCTGTCCTGGGACCATCCCCTGCTTGTGGAACTCTCGGTGCCGCTTCATTTCCAAGACTGATGGAAATGAGTTTTAAAATGACAGAGTAATTGGTCTCTGGCTGCTTTCTCCTGTGTTACCCAAATTAAAGCTTCATTCACTGCCCCTGTTTTCCTTCAATTACGGAGAATTAAGGGCATTTATTAGGGAAAGGAAATTGCTGGTTAACACGGTGTCCATGAAGAGCTCACACTTGTTCTCCACCAAAGCCTGTGGAAGTCTCCCGCCAAACGCACCATGCACAGCCTCTCCCTCTCCCGCCTAGGTCTCACCTGTAACCTCACTCAGATGCTAATGACAGGATCAGCGCCCCGCCAACGACCCCAGAGCTCCCACTGTCTCCCTGCAGACGTGCTCCCTGAGTCTCTACTCCTCTTCTCTTCCCAGGAGGAGCAGAGGCCACTCCCCACCTCTCATGGCTGATAATTTGCCATCGTCTTCTTTTAAGCACTACAGACACCCCATCCTTCCTCTCTCTTTCTCACGCAACTTCAGCTTTTCCATTGCCCATGACCCAGCCCTTCAGTTCGAGCACACAAATGTGGTGAGATTAATGTTCATGCCACATCTCCATATCCCAAAGATCCTCTGTAACTGTGCTACCTTGATCTCCTCCTCCACGCCAGGCTTCCAAGAACACACTCTATCCTGTAATACAAAGATTAGCCGGGCATGGTGGCGGGCGCCTGTAATCCCAGCTACTCTGGAGGCTGAGGCAGGAGAATCGCTTGAACCAGGGAGACAGAGGTTGCAATGAGCCGGGATCATGCCATGGCACTCCAGCCTGGGTGACAGAGCAAGACTCCATCACACACACACACACACACACACACACACACACACACACTGTCTTCCATCTCCCTTCCATACCACACTGGGTCCCAGCCCCTCAGCTGTCTCTACCTGTACTTCCTCCACAGTCTCCAGGGTGGTACGCCAAGACCTCACCTCAGTTCACTCAGGCTCGTGCTACGATATGAGTCCTGCCAGGACTCCTCGAGGCTCACTTCCCCCTCGGCATTAGTGATCCCAGGCATCTCCTGCCTCCGCCCTGACACCTTTCTTTCACCTGCCCCCAGATACAAGTGGCTCCCAATGTCCTGGCCTAATCCTGTTCCTCTCAAAGCTGGACTCAACCTTAGGTGTCCTCATCTTCTTCATGTTTGTGAATTTTCCAGCTGTTTCATGTTTGATTCATATGACAATATCCCATGACTTAAAATGCAGACAACCCTTTTTCTACCTAAAAATAAAACAATGACATTTGACACTACTATCCAAAAAAAGTTTAATGAAACATGACCAGAAGGCACACAGTCCCTGAATTATAGCTTTGATGAGTAAGGAGAGGTGGTGGACCTAGGTGCCACCTGAGTCCCCAGCCAGTGTTCTGAATAAACTCATGGAGGCATTCCCGCTGGTTGGGCAGCAATTTTCCCAAATAACCCCAAGATGGCCTCCACACAGTGGCTCCAGTTCTCCTCAGGAGTCACAGCTCTCTCCTCGTCCCATCTCCTGTCTCACTTCCACCTGAATGTCCCACAGGTCCCTGACTCACCCTAACCACCACCCTCACATCAAGTTTCCAAGCTGCCTCAAGCCTGCTCCTCCTTGTTAATGATTTTACTTTCTGTCTGAGTCTTCCAGCTCCTCCAATTCTCCCCCATCGAATGAGTCATCAGGTACTGCTAATATTACAGATCAAGATCAACATGACAGCTGGCAGGCTCCCTAATTAAGCCTCTTTACATTCATTAACTTCCTGATCTCACAACCAGCCTGTAAAATAGATCCTAAATTGTCTCATATCCGGTCGAGGCAAGTGAAGCTCAGAGCGGTTAAGCACTTTGGTCAGTGTCACCCAGCTAACAGGTGGGTAGGGTGGGATTTGGACCCAGATCTGTCTGAGGACAAAGCCCCAACGCCCCAGGCTGTTGCTGGTTTCTCTTGCTGGGTCGGTTATTCTTCTGTTTGTACTGGGTATCTGCTTGGGTCCTCTATCCTGGGCTGCTGAAGAAGCCTCCTCCTGGGTCTCCTTGTCTCACTAACCTCCACCTCCATCTTCACCCTACCTCAGGCCGACCCCACCATCAGTCACTTTCTGCTCTATGGTCTCCAACCCCCTCAGGCCGATTCCATCAGTCACTTCCTGCTCTATGGTCTCCATTCCCCTCAGGCCGACTCCCCCCTCATCAGTCACTTCCTGCTCTATGGTCTCTATCTCCTCAGGCTGACTCCCCCATCAGTGACTTCTCGCTCTATGGTCTCCATTCCCCTCAGGCTGATTCCCCACCAGTCACTTCCCCGCTCTATGGTCTCCATCCCCCCTCAGGCTGACTCCCCCCATCAGTCACTTCCTGCTCTATGATCTCTATCCCCCCTCAGGCCGGCCCCACCATCAGTCACTTCCTGCTCTATGGTCTCCATCCCCCTCAGGCTGACTCCCCCATCAGTCACTGCTCTATGATCTCTATCCCCTCAGGCTGCCTCTACCGGGGTCACTTCTGCCCCATGGTCTCCATTCCTCCAGGCTGACTCTCCACTCCATCAGTCACTTCCTGCTCTATGATCTTCATACCCCTCAGGCAGACTCCCCATCCCCCCTCAGGCTGACTCCCCCACCATCAGTCACTTCCCTGCTCTATGGTCTCCATCCCCTCAGGCCGACTTCCCATCAGTCACCCTGCTCTATGGTCTCCATCCCCGCTCAGGCCAACTCCCCCATCAGTCACTTCCTGCTCTATGGTTCTATCCCCTCAGACTGACCCCCCATCCTCAGCCTGACACTCCTCATCAGTCACTCCTCCTCTATGGTCTCCATCCCCCCTCAGGCCGACCCCCCCCATCAGTCACTTCCTGCTCTATGGTCTCCATCCCCCCTCAGGCCGACCCCCCCATCAGTCACTTCCTGCTCTATGGTCTCCATCCCCCCTCAGGCTGACTCCCCCCATCAGTCACTTCCTGCTCTATGATCTCTATCCCCCCTCAGGCCGGCCCCACCATCAGTCACTTCCTGCTCTATGGTCTCCATCCCCCCTCAGGCCGACCCCCCCATCAGTCACTTCCTGCTCTGTGGTCTCTATCCCGCAGCATGGTAGGCCAGGCCTTTCCCAGGCTTCTCCCTTACTCCCCTGCGTGTGTTTTGCTGCCCCGTCAGCCTGACAGCAACTTGTGTTGAAATTCTTCCCATGCTCTTATAGTGGTCTGATCCAGGCATGAGCGCTGGACAGCTCTCAGATCACTCTCCCACTTCACAGATAAGCAAGCTGAGGCCCACACAGGGTGCAGGTGTAAGCCCAAGGTCACATTTCTAATAAGTGAAGCCCAGGTCAGGTATGGTGGCTCACGCCTGTAATCCCAGCATTTTGGGAGGCGAAGGCAGGTGGATCACCTGAGGTCAGGAGTTTGAGACCAGCCTGGCCAACCTCGTGAAACCCCTTCTCTACTAAAAAAAAGAAAAAGTAGCTGGGCGTGGTGACAGGCGCCTATAATCCCAGCTCCTTGGGAGGCTGAGGCAGGAGAATCGCTTGAACCTAGGATGCAGAAGTTGCAGTGAGCCGAGATCGTGCCACTGCACTCCAGCCTGGGCGGGGGAGCAAGACTCTGTCTCAAAAAAATAAACTAATTAATTAACTAAATAAATGTTGACTGACTGATAAGTGATGTGCCAAGATCAGGCCGTGCCCACAGCCTGCTCTTAGGCCCACTGGCTCGGTGTCCCCTGGGGTGGGGACAGGGAGGGCTGGTCCCAGGCTCCAGATGTCCCGTCCCTCAGCGTCCTGCGCGGGTGGGGACCGGGGGCAGATGGCTCTGCGGCTCTCACCAGACAATCTTCTTCATCTCGCCCCCCACCGTGCCTGGCTCCCTGGGCTTTAGCAGCAACTGTTCCACAGAGCCAGGCTGCAGGGCATCAAACTCGCCATTCAAATGTGCCCCCTCGGCGGGGCAAGGGGGAGAGGGCCCTTCTGACAGGTCCTGCGTGGGGTGTGGGTCGGTGGCGGCCGCAGCGGTGGGAACGCTCCGGGAGGGCGCCACCTGGAGTTCACAGCCGGCATTGCCTGAGGGGGGATTGCAGAGGTAAGGCCAGGAAACAGCCGAGTTCAGAGGGGAAGCAGGGAGAGGGAGGAGAGGGAGAGGGAGGAGAGGGAGACGGGGAAGAAAGAGAGAGCGGGAGATGGGGGACACACCGCCGCATATCTGACAGATGTGCTGTTTTTTCAGACCTAAACGTCTTCAAATCATTTTCCAAAAAAAAATGCAGTATTGGTTAAGGAAGTTCATGGTGAGTGGTTTACTCACCCTCCGGAATGCACCGCGCGGAAAAAGCAGCAGGGGAAGGTTTGTGCATCAGGCTGGGGCTGGGGTTTGAGCTCAGATCCCCGGGCAGGGGGTGAACGCCTCCCCTCTGTGTGGCCCGGGCCCGCCCTGCCTTGCAGGTTAGGCTACCTGGCCAGTCCAGTACACAGAGCGGAAGTGGTTCTGCCCCAGAGGCAGGGGGCAGGGGGCAGGGGACAAGGACCGCCAGCCTGAGCAGCCCCGCCTGGTGCGTTCTCTGCTCGGGTCTCCGGTGATGATGCCTTTCCCTGGGCATTTTAAATCACCACAAAACCCACACTATAATCAAATGGCTTTATGACGCTGATGCAGCTGTTTTCCTGCCCAGTAGTTTATGGAGGCAATATAGCAGCTGCCCAGGGAAGGTGGGAGGGAGAATTTACCACCAGGGAGGGGTGAAGCAGGCTGCAGGTTCTGAGCTGGTAATCATCCCAGCGGGACCCATCCTGCCTTTTCTTAATGGGACAGGAGCGCTGGCTCTGCCTGTTAATTCTTAAACAGATGTTCTGTGACAACAGAGAACAGAGGGGCCTGTGAATGGCCTGTTGGGAGGATGGGAGGGACAGTGGGCTGATGAGGCAGCACATCACTGACAGGCAGAGCAGCAGCGTCACCGATAGCCACACACGCAGCCTCTGAGGCAGCTGCTCTGAGAGACAGCACATCCGTCTGGCTGATACAGGCTCAGCAGAGCTCCCAGCATGGGATCTGGTCACTCCTGCCCTTTCCTCCTCCTTCCTCAGCTCCTGAGAGCTGCCCCACCCCATTCTGAGGGAAAGCAGAGGCCTGAATGAGGCACCCCTTTTCTGCCTGGGCTGCCAGGGAGCTCAAAGGTAAATGTCATAGATTCGCTTCTCCAGATGCTGCTAGGCGGCCGGCTCCAGGGAGCTCCATCCCCCATTGCTGTATTCTACCTGAATGGCACTCCCGAGGTTGGAGGCAGAGCTCCTCCCACCGAGGCCCTCCACTGGCTGAACTGGAAGGATATTTTAGTCCTTATGCCACTAGAACATTCTGTAGCTTTTTACCCTGTTGGCTACTGGTACTGCCCCCTCCCCCAAACTCTGTTGTTTAGCTTCTGGAGCACCGTATCCAACCTCTCTGACAGCTGTCTCTCCGCGTCCTCTAATCCCCAAAACACTCACATTCCCAGGGGTCCCTCTGTGCATCTCCCCGACTCCCAGTGTCACCTCCTGCCGTGGGCACCGGCTCTTCCAGCCTGGACATTCCCCTGAGGGTGGGCACTTCGGTATCTCCCCATCTCCCAACCTGCTCCTGCAGTGCGGGGCACCAGCTGTCCAGGACAGAGACTTCACGTCTCACCTCGTCCCCACATCCAAGTCACCAAGTCCGGCCAGCTTCGCCTTCTCAATACTCCTCACACCTGACCCTTCCTGTTTCCCATCACCTACCACCCTAGCTCTGGACCCTGGAACCCACGCTTAACTCCCCCTTTCAATCCAGCTGCACATTGCCACTGCCGTCCTCAGAGGGAGCCTCACAAGTCTCACGATGACCAGGTCATTCCCTCAGGACAACTCCTTCAGTGGCTCCCCAGTGCCGTCGGGAGACCGGCCAAGCCCCCTCGCCTGGGATCCAAGACCTCCCTCCCCACCCTCCTTTGCCGCCACCCCCTCCAGGTGACCTGACCCATGGCTCATATTGAGGTGCTGGGCTAATACCACTGCCTGACAAACAGCCCCTGCTACCCTCCCCGTGCGGCTCCCAGCTGTGGTTCCTGCTCTCCCCTCCTCTTGGAATGACCATCTCTGCTCTCTGCCACAATCTGCCTTAACTGGCCTGTTTCTGCTGCACCCCCACGGCTGGACGAACCCCTCTTTCCTGTGCTGCTCTGCCTCTCTCAATGCATGGCTCCCTGATTTTGAACTTGGTCCCTCAGCTGAACTGTGAGGTCCTGGGGACACACTGTGCCTTGACCAGCTTTGTGTTCCCGGCACCCAACCCAGCTCCTGGGCCAGAGAGGGCATCACTGGGCATTGGCTGAACTGACCTGAATCAGTGCGTAGCCACCCAGCACTCCATGAACTCTGAAATCACCTCCTGCCTGTATTTTTCCATTGCCCTATTGCACGGGTGTGTTTAGTGTCATCCCCTTCCTCCTACCGTGCAGGAGGAAGATTCTAAACAATAAGGAAAGGAGTGCGGTGGCAGGATGCCAGCCAATGGAAGGTGGTGTTTAGCAAGCGCCCCTTGGAATGGCCGCATACACAACCCCTGCCGCCCGAAGGGGTGCCCGACCTTTCTCAGGGTCCTTCAGGCTCGAGCGGACGATCTCCACCACTTTCTCCACCTCTTCACTGCTGCAGACGTTGAGCTGGACGGTTCTCAGTCGGTCACTGTTTAGGCTGTCCAGCTCCTTGACCCCATCATGGCCTTTGTCCTGGGGAGGAGAGAAGAGCTGTTTCTACCTCCTTCCTTCCCACCCTGAGGCAGACCCTGAGGACCCCTGCCAAGGCAGGAGCTGGCCTCAAGTCCCGGCCAAAGCCTCAGGCATGTTGGCAACTGCCCACAGGATTCTCTGGAGGCCTGACCAGGCCTGACCCACCAGCGTGCGGTTCTTTTTAATCTGAGCACTGATGACCTATCAAGCACCGAGCTATAGACACAGACACACCATGAACAGGATGGAGAACCGGTCCCCAGGGCCTCACAGCAGGATTCTTTCTCCAAGCAGGGGCTGCAAACTTATGTGGGGCAGGTGGGGGCCCTGGCGAGTACAGGACATTTCAGGAATTACCCATGTGGGGATGCAAGCCCAGGGTTGCCAGATGCTTACATTTTTAGGCTAGTAATTGGGAAATCTCTTAATTCTTTTAAGTGTTGGCAACTTACACACATTAAAAACAAAAACAAAAACAAAACAAAACACTGTGTGGGCCAAAGCATGTCCACAGGCCACATAGGACCAGCAGGCTGCCAGTTTGCCACCTCTGTTCTAAGCCAAGGGCCCATCAACTCGAAACTGGTAAGAGGCCAGAGCCAGCCTCTAATCCCAGCTCAGTCACTGAGCAGGCTCTGTGCACTCAGGGGTGTCCCCTAACAGGTGTCCATTTTTTCTGGCTGTAAAACAGGAATATCATCACCTGTCCTGACCTGCTCAGACTAATGGAGTAAGGAAATGGATTTGTAAGAAGCCTGTTAGAGTCTAAAGCACCACACAAATTCAGGTACTGCTAAACACGAGAAAAGCGTCACTCGCTCGGCAAACATTTCTTGGGCCTCTATCGTGCTCCGGCACCGTGCTAGGAACTGGAGGTCAAGATTGATAACTCAGCCCCTGTTCCCAGAGTCATGTTCTAGGGAAGGAGACAGGTGAAGAGTACATAAGCAACACGGTGACTGTGTGCTGTATGGAAACTTGCGGGATGTGGGAGGGACACAGGAGGGATGGGCAGGGGAGAACTTCCAAAGGCGGTGACAGCTGAGGACATTCGCAAGAGGGGGCCGATGGGGATGGGGCACTGCGGGAAGAGATGAGAGGACACCACCATAAGCCATCGGTTGCAGGCAGTGCAGACACATAAGGAAGTGGTGGACACAGGGCTGGAGGGGTGAGGGGGGCAGGGGTCTGCCTGTGGGCATTGCCGAGCTGCCGGGGGCTTTCATCTAAGCAGACGGCATTTCCTGAGTGTCCACTGTCCTGAGCACGGTGCTAAGTACGAGGCAGGCTGTATTGTCCTATTTCATCCTATTCGATGAAACACGGTTTCTTTCACAATAGGCATGAGCTACACTCGATGTGAAAATTAAACAGAGTTGGTCATCAGTGACTTAATTGGCAGTGATTTTCCTGAGTGGTGCATGGCATAGTGATGCCTCTTATAAGAGGACTGGACTAGCTGCCAAGAATAAAGGGGTAGAGAAATGCCCACTCTCCAGCCAAGGGCTTGCCCATGGCACACACAGCTGCTACCGAAGCAAACATCCCAGGCGCAGGCAAGGGTGGAAAGCCCAGGACGGTCAGCGCATGTCAGGGGTGCAAAGTTCTCTACTGGGTAGGCTGAGCCTTCTGAATGCTTTCAACCAGAAGAACCCCAACCCCAGGACAGGAGAAATCACATCATGCAATTTCAGAGGGCAGAGGAGGAAATGGTGAAGGGACTGCCCAGTGGGGCCGGAGGTGCTGGACATAGTCACCCCGGAGAGAAGACTTGAGTGGAACATGACAGAGGGAGCCAACTTGTTCCATGCAGCCACGGAGAACAGAGCCAGGACCAAGAAGTCAAGTTCAGCTCAAAATGAGGTATGATCTTCAGTCTGGAGATGGCATGGGCTGCCTGGAGGTGTTTAGGCAATGAGTGTGGGTGGGGGGTTGTTTGGAGGTCGGAGGGATGTTTGGGGGTTGGGGGCATGCTTGCGGATGGGGTGTGGGAAATGTGGTACAGAGACAATCCAGGCATTGGACAGGAGGTCGGGCTGATCTCCCCTAACACCCCTTCCTTTCCTCGACTGTCATCTGCACAGCCTGGTTTTCCATCAAAAGGAAGCCTCCCCAGTGGCCCTTCGAAAAAGCAATGTGACACCCATGGCGTCTCTGCAGGGGCCTGGCACCAGGGAGGCCTTTGGACAGAGCAGCCAGGCTGGAGGCCCGGTGGGTCTAAAGTTTGGCTCTGAAATCCCCTAGATGTGCTGAGTTTCCCAAACAAGACACAGGCATGAGACGCACAGGACAGATGGGCCTGGAGCTCATGCTGTCATTCCCACAGAGGACTCCACCGAGAAAGAACTAATGCCATCTTCAAGTGTAGGGTGCCACGATGTGGTGCCTGCAGACCCCTCTCTTCCACAGGTGGCACACAGGTGCCAGGAAAACATGCGTCTTGCTTTAATACAGTCTTCCATCTGGTGGCTCTTCAAATGTCCCTTGGAGTGGAGCTCACGTGGTCTGAACCTCGGAAAGGGGGATTCTAGCTGAAATGCACAAGAGGCGTCTAAATGTCCTTCCTCTTGGGACTTGGTTAACCCTGTTGCTATCATTCAGTTCTTCTCAGACCCCTATACAAGACCTCTCCAGTGACCCAGACAGCATCATAAGGTCCCTGCAGTCCTCAGGGGAACCCCCCCTCTACTCCAAGTCAGGTTGCCCATGTAAACTCTTAATTTGGCGGTTTGACAGTGAAGAGTCTTCTTTCAGAGGAAACTAGGGGATTACTCTCACTGCCCATGGCTTCAGGCTTAGCGTTCAGGCTCCGCAGGAGAGCAACGCCACCCTCCTGTCTTCACCTGACAGGCCCCCAGGAACCCTCATTTGCCTTTGGGCAGCCTCTACACCCTGCTCCTGACAACCACGCCAACAGGGAGAGAAACTACCAGTGTGTCCCCAGTTATTCAGGGAAACCTTCCCAACCACCCTCAGCCTGCTGGCTGCAGACTGTTGGCCCGTCACCTTCAGGGTCTACCTGTCCTCAGACCAAGACTGCCCCTTGGGCCATGCCACCTCCCTGGCCCCGGGGTTTCTGTGCTCCCTCTGCAGGTCTCTGTGCTCCCTCTGCAGGTCTCTGTGCTCCCTCTGCAGGTCTCTGGAGTCTCTGTCCACCTCTGTCCAGCTGCTCAGGGACAAGCTTTTGGTTCCGCTGTGTTGGTGCCTGTGCAACCGGCTTATTGATAAACCCACTTCTTTAATCTTACTGTCCCTTTCAGCCTCACCTGTAAGCTATTTTTTCCAGCCCTGGATGAAATTTCAGGCAAGTCTTATAGCTTTTCCACTCATTCTCAGACAGTGGACAGACAGCCTCTTTGTTTTGGCATGAAGAATCCTGTTCAGTCTCTTAAGCCAATAATTCCAGCCCAGCCCGGTTTGAAAACCTAAACTCCCAAACTTGTATGCAAGGTAAAGCTTTCCCCTGCCCAGCCCTGAGGGCTGCGGGAAGTAGGTGCTGGTGGAGGTTGTCTTTCTCACCGTTTTCTAGCTCCTCCTCCCCTCCTAGTCTTAATTTCTGATCCTTCCAAGGTTGGATCCAGGGGCAGCAAATTAGGGGCAAGACTGTAGTCATCTGAGGCTGGCTGTTGTCTGTTGTTGCTGCCCCTGAGATGGCAGGTGCACAAAAGCCAGCTATTCCTTCTTGGGGTGCTTCTGCAGAGTCCACAAATATTCTGCCCTGGAGACCTCCGACCGCCGCTCCAGAGGCAGGGCAGCGTGCCTCCCCGAGCCGGGCATCTGCTCCCTCAGCCCCTGGCCTCAGTGATGTACCCGCTTCTGGCTGGGGCCACGTGGATCCTCCTAGCCAGCTCACTGGATGGTTGCCCTTAAGATGACTCTAAGCAGCTCTCTCTATTGTCCACACAGGGCCAGGCAACTGTTACCTGCCCGGGTAGAAGGACAGCCCTCTCCCCACCAGCTTTCCATGCTCTGCTCCCAGACCAGCCACTCCTACCTCAATCTCGGGCCTTTAGACTTCTTCTGGTAGACATTAGCATCACATTCTGTAGCCTCCAGACTCCAGGGCACACGTGGTAAGCCAAGAAGCTCTCCGGGGAGTTCCAGAACTTGGAAAAGTCCAGAAGCTCTCCAAGGCATTCATATGAAGCCCACCTCATTTTACTCGCCATCAGAGGGAAAATATCAGCACACTAACAACTCTTTCTAGCCACTCAACCTCTTCTACCTCCATTTCTTATAATACTGAGGCAGCCAATGAGCTGATTCTGGCAAAAAGGTTTTACTCTCTAGCATACATATTAAGGTGGTTTAGCACCTCAGGGAAGAACATGAGAACGCTCAGCCCATGTTATAAGTCAGCGTCTTATCACACGCGTTAGAAACACTTCAGAGTGGGGCGAGCCTGGGCACTGTAATGTTCACAGGATGGGCAGGAGGAGGAGCTAACAAGCAGACGGGAAGAGCCCTGAGAGCATGGAGTCAAGAAACAAAGTGTTACGGGTAAGGGTGGTTTATCTGGTCAAAAGCTGCTGCTGGGTTGAGCATGACGTGGTCTGGGAAGTGGCCAATGGATTTGGGAAAATGGGGGCTGTTGGTATCCTTGACAAAAGCTGGGTCAGAGGCACTCAGGGACCTTCCTGGTCTGGTCCTGCCTTCTTTTCCCAGCTCACCAGGGCACTGGGCTTTGGCCACCTCAAACTACTGGCAGTGCCTCATATGCCACCTGCCCCCATTTCACAGGAAGCTCCTGTTCATCCTTCCAGATGGTGGTGAGACGCCACCTCTCATTAAGCCTTCCCTGTGCTGATACAAGATCTGCTCCCACGCCCCTCCCTTCACGCTACTCCCTGCTCATTCTGCTTCAGCCACAAGGTTTCGTGCTGTTTCTCAGGCACACCCTGCACACTCCCTCCTGGGGCTTTGTACTGGGCTGTCCCTCTTCCCCTGGATTTCTGTGACACTCACTCCCGCACCTCCTTTGGATGAGGGAGCTCCAATTT